CTAACACACTTATATCTTACTGATAACTCCAGGCAGGATGGAATTCATGACTCCAGGACGGAGGGGACAAAAAAAACCCAAAACAACAAAAACCAAAACCAAAAACTTGAATAACACGAACTCCACTCGAATCCTACCATCTCTCAGTCTGTCTGTCTGTCCGTCTCAATACACGATCTTTCTCTGATCCCGTCTGTCTATCGTGAGTCTATATGTCAGTTTAAGACTTGCCTGTCTATCCAAATCTATCAATCTCCGAGTCTATCAGCCCGTCTCAGCACCCTCTATGATGCCAGACGGCAAATCTCTCTTTGAGAAGGTCATTGTGAAACGACATAATGGCCGCTCCCCTCAAAGTGCCTGTACTATTTCGTGAGAAAAGAAGCTTAGCTCGCGACTTCTGTTTGGAAGAATAATATTACTCGCCTAGAGCTGGCTGGGGGGAAGGAAGGGACGTGATGGCTGGAGAACAATAAGGAAATAAACCCCTTTTTTGTAAGGTCATACACAACTAGGTACTTTAATAGTGGGTTTTCTTCGAACATGTCGCCGTATGCAGTTGAGAGCGCCGTAAAACTTTCATCAAACTGAATGAAACTGAACGATATGTCACCTCTGTTTCAGTGGAGAGGAGCACATCGGCACAACAACGGCCATTTAGAATGGGGGGACAGCTAGGCATACAAACAGAAAAAGCAGACAAAAAGAAAAAAGCAGGGCCTACTTATGACCTCAATACGTAACAATCTTTTGGTATAGCGGAAAAAAACTTTTAGCTGCTCAAGCATCATCATGTGCTAAATAGATAGATAAATCGATAAATGGATGAATAAAATAATAAAATAAATAAACAAATAAATACACGAATAAACAAATAAATAAATAAATCGTATTTTCCACCAAAAAAGAGTGAAATTGTTTAATAAATCACACCAAAAAACCAAAAAAAAACCCCGGCAAGCTGTTCTATTTTAGAGGCGTGATCCTATAATAAGCGCCTGCCAACCTCTGCCAAACTGGAGGGAGAATCCCATTGAGTAGTGACTGCCTGTCCTCAGACATTTCCCCACAGGGAGATCACGCACTTTTTTACCTTGATCATTTGGAAGAGAAGTGGTATGTGGCAAGGAAAGGAAGAAACAGACAGACAGAAAGAGAGAAAGAAAAAAATAAAGCAAAATTGAAAGTTGAAAATAAATGAGAAACAGAAGGAGGGGGGTGTGTGAGAGACAGAGAGACAGACAGACAGACAGACAGGCAGAGACAGAGACAGACAGGCAGAGACAGAAAGACAGACAGACAGAAAGACAGACAGACAGACAGAAAGGAGGGAGGGGGAGACAGAGAAAGAAAACGCTGGACTCTAGTTCGAACGGGCAACAACCCCGCACAGCCTGGGCCAGGATCGGTTAACACTGCTCACGCCTCAAGAGCCAGCACTGGTCATGACCATAAAAAAACAGAAACAAAACAAAAACACCCGTAACAAAAATAACAAACATTTATCCCATTCTTCGTGTTTTTGCTCCACCGGTCATCGAACCCTGGTTAAACAACCCGTTTCTCTCCTGCTTGTCTA